TATATACAACTTTTTAGTAAATAATATGTGCTTTACAAAAATAATAATAATAATTTCACAAGATTTTAAACGTAAAATTTGGTTTTTAACCATAATAGAAAAATCATGGTAAGTTGTATTGAAAAGGTGTTAGATAAAACAATTAACTAAAATAATTAAATAAAATACTTGATGGAAATAGAATGCATTAATTACCTTTGACTTTCGTTACTACTAATTCTAGTAAATAGAATGTCTTTTTATATAAGTATAGATGTGCATGTAAGATTTTTTAAACTATTTTGTAAAGAAAACATGTCTAAAAATAATTAAACTTAACATGTGTTACGTATATGTGAGTATATATAAAAAGCTATCAATTTTACAAATATAAATCAAGATTAATGCACATAAAAAATTATGTGACAAATAAAAACAAATTTTATATGTAATTGAGATCAAAGACGAACACTGAAGATTGTTTCTATTAATATTTACAATGTGTATTTAATGTTTTTTTTTGGGTAAAATATTCTTTCTAAATGTGATATATAAATATTAAAAATATTTAAAATATTTTATAACATCTATAAAAGCATCAAAAATATTCTATATTATTCACAATAATGTTTGAAGCTACCTAATTTTTTTTAAACTACCAGTAAGAAAAACATGTCTAAAAATTGTTCATTTAACCTCCATACATGTATATATAGAGAGAGAGCAAATGTGTAAAAAAAATTATACAAATAATATTTAAAAGTATCTAAAATATTATTAATTAGACAGGTGAAATTTAGATTTTTAAAAAAATCTAAATAGATAATGGATTTATAGTACTAATTAGACTTTTATTTATTTACCTTTAAAGTTGTTACAATAGACGAGGGATGTGATTTTTTTGACTCGTGGAGATGAAATTTTGTAAACTGAGTTATGAAATTTTCTTAAACTCGTCCATATTTATGCAATGAGTTTTTTGAGCTGGGTATATAGAGTTAAAATTGTAACCAAAAAAAAAAAAACTTTCATAAATCATTTGATTTGGTATTTTTGGAGAGCTTTATTAATTTTTAAAATTGTAAAATAAATAAATAAAAAAAGTACAACTGAAAAAGTTACAACCAATTGTATGGAGAATTAAACTAAATCCAATTTTGTAGGATGCATTAAATATTAATTAGATTTTATATGTAAATAAAATAAAAAATAACTGGAATAATTTTACGTGTTGCAATATTATATATTTTTAAAAAAAAAAATCTTATTTTACGTGTTGTATATCAACATTTTAGGAACTACATGGATATTCTTAAATTAATATTGCATACCCAATATTTTAGGAACTAATTAAATGCTAACTTGATTTGCATACCCAAAATATTAGATGCATTAACTAAATACTTGATAAAATTAGAAATTCATTAATTAAATTTGACTTTTCTAACTACTATATTTAGTAAATAGGATCCCTTTAATATAAGTATAAATAAATTAAGAAATTAAAG